TAATTTTCTGAGTACGTGGCTTCTCTTACGCTTACTTAACAAATAATTGGTTTTGATCAGTCTACATTTCTTCTGGTTGGCAATCTGCTTTTGATAGTGTTTGCGTTGGTAGAAAACCGATCGGTCAAGCCTTTGTAATCGAGCGTTTTTGAGGTTCGTAGTCATCTTTTCGAAACCGGGTGTAGTCTCATTATCAAGTTTAATGAGTTGATGTTTGATCCAAGTTGAAGTTTCCTCTTCCCTTACTTGTGGCTAGTTTTAGAGTGGTGAATCTAACGCTATGTTCTCCCAAAGACTGTCAGGAAATCGAAAGCATTTTCAACTCCTTGCACCACTTCATTACTTATCGTTTGCGTTTACCATTGATGACATAAGAATTGCTAGTCACTTTGATTTAACCTTGAGATCAATAAAGTTAGGTCTTATTTTCCCATCAAGCCATTAAATTTTTTTCCCACACCCTTTCGCTCGATTTTAGTTTGTTAGGAGTATTTTTGAATTGATGTTGGTATGATTGGTGTTTGTGCTACTGATTATTCTAAATGTTGCCTTGTTTTCAAAGCTGATGACGTGAAATTAGCGAACTTATTTATGTTTCTGCAATGGAAAATTCGGTAAATTTGGCCTTTTTAAAACATGGAATGTTCAGCGAGTTCATTTACTTCTGACTACCAAATGCTTCTACTGTTGATTCACCCTGTGCATTTGACTACGGTTAAGCCAGTGTTTACACTCCAATGTCGTGTAAAAGTGGAGCTCTCAAGGCCATTTAGCAATATTCAATTCGCAGATCTCCAATCTGATGCGGACAAACGAGACAGAGAGGCGGATGAGTCATCGCAATGCTAGCAGTAACGGCGTGGCCTCGCAGACCGATGGTGTGCGGAATCGAGCGGACGTTGCTGCACCAGGAGCAACACCAGCAGCAGACGAACGACTGGCAGTAATGGCAGCTATCGCGAAGGAGGTGGCAGAGCAGTCGGAGGCTTACTCGACTGAATTGGAGATGGAGCTCCATCGATTGAATGCGGAGAATCAAGCACTTCGAGAACTGCTTGCCATTGAGACTGCCAATTCCATTCCCCCTTCCTCCGCTGGCGCTGGCGCCGGTACCGCCAATTGCAACACTGCAATATCCTCCACGGCCTTAAGAGAGTCAAATGGTAGTGCTGCATCAAAGCCCAGAG